CCGATCGCCTAGCGAAATCTCGGGAGAACCGTTTCGAAGCGCTTCTTGAAGCGGCCTCACCAACATCGCTACCGCGCTTAATGTATCCTCTTCGAGACGATTGAACTCGTCGAAACAACCCCAGGCACCCGCTTGTGCTAGACCTCCTAAGATACGCTTCATACTTCCAGTATCCATCCCTACAAATCAAGTCGACTATTCAATATATGGGTATCATGTATCAACGTGTTATTAAAACTTACAATTTCTTATCACTGGCACAGTGATGAAAGAGAAGCTTTTTACCTTCGTCGCAATTGAAAACTAGCACTAGTCTACCCAAGATGGATGCTAGCGCTTTTACGCTTTCGGTTTTTCCGGTTCCAGCAGGACCAGTCGGACTTCCGCCTAATCCGAGCTTCATAGCTTGCGTGAGAGCCAGGAAACACTTTTCTGTCAAGGGAGTTCTCACTAAGCCAATAGACGCTCCTTGGTACTCGAAGAGATAGGGTAATTCTGCGCCGGCACATCGCACCACGTACGTATCTTGATTCTTTAAAATATGCGAGATCATACACGATATAATAATCAGATGTTATATAGAATGCTCTTTATCTAGAGATATTATTGACAAGAACAATTTTTTTGAATTAATCTTGAATATAACAAAATATTATCCACTTTTAAACAAAATGTGTTAAGTCGATGTTTTCGCAAAATACGAAAAATACAAAAGATGGCGATATCTCTTGCAATATTGGTTTGAGCATAAAAATGTTAAAAGTTTTTTTTATATCTCGTAATATATCTTTAAATAACATACGAAAAATTATGATTTCCGAAACGTGGAAGTCTGTTCTATTGTATTATATATAATAATTATATTTTTCTATAGTTTTAACCGTATTATTCTAGTAATGTAAAATATTATATCGCTATCACGGTATATGATTCTCTTTATTAAGACACAAACATATTTTTTAATCGAGACTCACTTTTCTGTAACTCTTCAATTGTTTGTACCACATCCAATCGGCGTTCTCACCGGTTGCCACAATTCTCGACAATGTCCTGGCCACTTGCAAATGATGAACGGTATCCAACAAAAGACCGCGCGCTTTCAACGCTGTCAATTTGTCACCGGCGTCTTCCAATCCTCTGTATCTTGCTCTCTGCGTTTCCAGAAATTCAACAAGCTTTTGCAAAGCCGAGCGACCCTCCTTCAAAGCGCGTTCGCAACGCTCGGTAAATCCTATTCTTTCCGAAAGCAGCAGTATCTGTGTAGGATAAACGGACGGATCAGGCGTGGAGTCGTTCAAACATTTCTCTAAACTTTGACAGAGAGCCTTTTTCATTCCATTCTCGAGATTATTTAGCCATCGCGGTAGAGGTTCAGTGAGATCGATAGCCTCCGGTAATTTTAACATTTCACCTTCGGGCGACACAATCGCTGTTAATGTATCGTTTTCTTTTACTACTGAACCCACACCGTGATACAACTTTGGCAAATGAGCTTCCAAACCTCGTCCGCTGCCTGATACAAGCTCCAAAAGATCCTCGTCGCTGAGAAAATATAATCTCGGATACGCTGCACGTCTTTCCTAAAATTTCAAAATTTTACGTCGTGTTATAACACATCGGATGAGAACGTAAAACGCATGATTCTTCCCAAAAAATGTAATTATTTTTCGATTATCGAATTTTACCTCCAAAAATTCATCCAAACTCTTCTGACATCGATCTAGCAGATCCTTTAAATTTATTAAAGCTGGTAGAGAAAGTCGTCTCAAGAATGGTACTCGGGGATCTCGAGATACTTCTCCGATAATATATCTGAAAGTTTACAAAAGGATACAAATTGACGTTTAAATATAATATACAGATAAGATAGAAGAAAATTGTAGGAGGGAATTATAAACCTAAATTCTTTATCGGCCCTTGACCATTTTCCGGAATCATTTGGAGCCGCTCCACTTCCATAGACTGGATCCAGGTAAATCCATTTTCTCTGGACAATGCTAAGAACTTTAATTCTTTCCTCAAGCTCTGATAGAGCTGTTTCGCAGTGTGCCGCTCTAGATGCGAATCTTTCGTGTCCCGATGTGCCTTTGGCTCCTTCGAGCAAGAGCCTCAATTCCTCTGTTTTAAGAATTCAATTTGAAATAAAATGATACAAATTGCGCAATCAATATAAATAAACGTACCTATTTTCGCTAACAGACTGCCGTAATCTCCAACTAATAGAATAGTCATGTTCTTACTGTCAGTCGATTCTTGCAACGGAAGAGATGCCGTGTTTTCCCAAATCTCCAGATCCATTAACGCTTGTCGAATTCCGCTTTCTGCGATTGCACGTTTCGTTATTTCCTGAGAATAAAAAATATGTATTTTATGCAACGAAAATTTGAGAATTATGGTACAAAGATATACAACTCTTTCCTATCCATATTATGCCTTAGAAATGTATTATCTTTCAGTAATGTAAGATAATCATATATTTCTTTCGTGAAAAAATGCTAAAATAAATTTTAATTAATACCAAACTTCTAAATTGATACTTTTTTTAACAACTTGCACTATTCTAATATTACAATTACATTATCACAATTATTTTCATTAAATTAATATTGCAATTTCTCACCTTTACTCGGTCCTCATTTTTTTTCAGCGTCTGCGAGCAAGCAAGCAAGTCACCTAAAGTGATATCTCGTGGATTTTCGACCTTCAAGTCTAATATAGGAATTAACTCGGTCCAGTGCTCGTTAGCAATCTCATCTCCTCGAAGTAGCTGGATAGATTCGATCGTAGATCTGACTTCGTTAATCTTTTTACCAACGAAGGTGTCGATCTCCAAGTTATCCTGCAATCGAATCTTACTCTCCCAAGAATCGAGCCAATCGTGAAGTCTTGGTAATCTTCTCCTAGCCACGGCCCACTCTTCGGTTTCCTGATTCTTCAACTCCTCCAAAAACTCGGATTGAAACCTGTTTATCGCATTTAGCGTATTTTAATTAATTTTGTTGATTTTAGAAAGAAATAATAAAAAGTTATCTTTTTCCGTTAATACAATAAATTAGAAGTAAAAAATAAAGAAATAACCCAAATTTTATTGTTTTATAAATATTATACGAATGTATTGTATCAATTTTGTATGAAGTGTCTTTCATTGTAAAGTAACCTGTAATTTGATTCCTCAATCTCCAATTCGCGTTCCAATTGCGATAAATTAATCTCATCGTCTTCCAGAACACTCTCGAGATCAAGAGCTATTCTTTTACAATCCGCTTTCAAGGAATCCATTTGCGCATTTAAATTAAGCCAACGTTCCTTCATCAATATCAGCCAATCGAGTGTGAAATTCTCCGATCTTGCGGACCACTTGGCCTGCCATCTCTCTCTTTCGTCTCTCAGTGCTATCGCTTTATGGCGAAGATTAACTTTAGCATCTTCCAGTAAACGCGCCATAACAGCCTTATGCTTTTCCAAACGATCCCCTAGCTCCTGCCAAGCGGCATGAGCCGCGTTAACGCCTGTAAAGATAAAATCAACGAGAACTCAATTTATGTTTTTATTTAAGAAAGATTTATAAAAGAAACAGTTTCCAGAAGACGGAAAAAATTTCATTAAAGTATCATTTGGAAAAATATTACCATCGAGCTTCTCGCTGGTCCATGCAGCCATAACTTTGGCGAGTACAGCAACGACTTCCATTTCTTCAGCGATACCTGCCGACTGTTGCTCGATACGCGCATGGGCCTCGTGAGCTAATCCGACCTCCTCTACATCGCGCGGCCTACGTTCAAGCTCCTTGGATGCGAAGGACAGGAACTCGACGATAGCCATCAAACGCGAGGATGCTTCCACCCTTAAGTCGGAACACAGACGTTCCCAATAATGACGGGTCGCAGTCTCCAAATCGTTCCTTGTTGTTGCCGTGTCGATGCATATGCATGAAATTTTCACGTCGCAACCTCTTAATTTTCCAACCTGCGTCAGTGAAAATAAATGATTATTTAATTGGAACGATATAAATCATAAAAGTACAAGTGCGCTTAATACAAGAATAAATCGGAAAGCATAAGCTACATTTTTAAATGAATAAAATAGCAAGACACAAATATCACAATACTCAAAAATTTATTACAGTAAAAAATGTGCCGATTTTTAATATCTACATTGTTTTTTTTGTTTTTTTTTTTTCAAGAGAACAGTGTACTTTCTAATTTACCTTTAAAATATTTATAAAACTTACCTCTTGGGCCCATTGCTTGGCCTCCTTGAACGCTTTCGCCCATTCTTGAGGAGGTTTTCCTTTCAATCTAAATATATATAGATGATATAAAATATTATGCAATAATATACACAAAAAGCAGTATTACGATACATTATTTTAAAATTTAGCTTACCGTTCTCCAACATCGATATTGGCTGGCGTTGCTAAGTTTAGCCATTTCATTCTAAACAATTCGAGAGTGGACAGAGCGATTTCTACTTGCTTGTAAACGCCGCTAAAGAGATACGCATTCTTCTGCACCAAATCGCCAAAGTGTGCATCGGCGACGTCTCCGACGCCCCGAAAGTTTACCGGAATGGAAAGTGATCGGCGTATACCGGAATATAACTTTGCGCGAATGTCTTCGAGCGGCGGTCTCCATTGTAGAAGTCCATCCCGAAAAGTGAGCTCGACTCGGATCTCGGACAATTTCTTCGACAAGGATGGTAAAGCATTTCTATGCGCAAAATATACATGTTTTACGCAAAGAATTTTTGATAAAAAAAAAGCGTCACATTATTTAATAAAGTTTATATAAAATAAAATTTAAATATATCATTATATATAGAAAATTTAATTACAAGCAGGATCTTTTGTGTGTCGTTATACCTGTACGCTACGCCCAGTGTTTTTAAGAGTTGCCGATCCCAATGTAGTTTCCAAGCTTTTGCATTACCATACTCCGAATCCACCGCGTCGACGATCGCTCTCATACTTATCAATGTCTCCTTCCATACATTCTGATTTCCGACAAGATGCACAGCATCGCCTTTCAGCAAGTTCGACACGTAGTCTCGTAACGTGGAATGCTTTGAAATCAATTCTGAGTTTTGTCGAGCAAACTTCACCACCTGAAAATTTTTTTTTCCAATTTTGTTATATTATATTATATTATATTATATTTAATTTTATTTGCAGTTTTATTTTGTATCATCTTTACAAATAACAACGAAATTCTCACCAACTCTTTCAATCGAGCGGTATACGCATCGACGAGATGAGGGTCGGACCAAACGACACCCGATTGTTCCTGAACAGCACGCGCTAATTCGAGAGCCACCGTCAACATGAGCGGTCTTTGAGAGGGCACCATTCGATCGCCGATCGTGTTATGAAAGGTGGCGACCTGTTGAAGAGCTCTAGCTCGTCCGGCTAAAGACGCGGCTCTGTCTACGAGTTCTCTAATCTCTCTCGGTAGCTCGACGCCTTCGCCGGACAATGCTCTGGCTTCTCTGATCAGGGTCATTAATCGAGGATCATAGGTCACTCGCATCATGCTGGTGCCGGTAAGTTCTACTACTGGCGAATCGGTGCCCAAGCTTAATTCCTTCCTAGTTATCTCACTCTTCGTGTTGTTCACCTGGACGAATACAAATGTTAAGAAATATCAGTAATATATCATTTTAGATATAAAAAAATTTATGCAATTTTAAAAATTGCATCAGATTAAAAACGTAATTAAAGATTACCCATGACTCGACTAAATCCCGCCTTTTTTCTTCGGCTTCTTTCAACGCGCTCGACAATCGCGTCGCCACTTCTTCATACCCTGGCAAATCAGCGAGCAATTCCTTCCCTAATTTAGCCAGACTTTCTAGCCGTACTTCTGCAGATCTAGCGGCTTGGACCTCTTGCAGTACTCTAGGAACATCTAGAAGATCTTCCGTATCGGGACCAGCTAAACGACTTTCTACAATTTCGTGTTTCGAAAAAACACACACAAATGCAATGATTGATGAGTAAGTCTCGAATTATGTAAATTAACGTCTTTAAAATGTATCACATTATATTTACAATGATAACGTCGGAAGAGAAAAATATATAGTAAATAACACGATATAAAATCGATAATTAACGATATCTGCACGTAAAAAAAACACTCACAAATTTTTCTTTTTATTTCTGCATTAATTTTTTGTGAATTTTATGGCATTATATTTATAATGATTAACGATATAGAGAATATTTAATGCTCAAAAGTATTTTACCGATTAAATCAGGATACGCCGCAAGTAGCGATTCTCGTTCTGCACGCAATGCTCTCTTAAGCCCTTCCCTCTTCATTAACTCGCTATATTTCCCAAATTCAGATACCAAAGCACTCGGAGTATCAGCATCAGCAATATGATCCTTCAGCTTTTGAGCAACGCGCTCCTCAGCTGGCACCAGGCCCTCCTCAATCTTACGTCTCAGTCTATCCCATTCATCGTCCCAATGTTCATCATCGCTCGATGCAACTGATCGTAAATCGTAATTATTACTTAAAATGTTATTAACACGCATTGATCAAGAATTCGCTGAATCTTAGTTTCTATTTTTAATTATTTTAGTTATATTAATCGTCAAGTAATTCGTGAAAGGCACGCGAGGAAAGAGACTATTTTGTCGATCTTAATTTTAAAGATTCAAAGATATATGTGCTTGCGATTTGTCTCGGGAAATTATTGTAGAATATCTTTAAAGTAGAGCTCCATAGAGATACCTCTCATGTCATCAAATGATTGGAGTAGTTTCTCAATATCGAGTCCAGATCTTTCGCTCGAGGTCAGAAGTCTGCTCAATTGGCGATGCTGTGCACGCAAGTCTGACATTTGCCTGAAGAAATTAATCGCGGCTATATCTGTTATTTATTCCAAGTCGTTTCATACGCGTTGTCGCTTTACCTGAGACTTTTGCCAAGCTTCGAACATTTTCCGGGTACAAAGATCGCTCCTCGCCAAGGATGAAGCGAATAATGCGGCCAGAAAAGTTCTGTTAATTTCTGCGTGGCGTTTACCCACTTTTCGCACACTGTCGCTCCAAGTGCGATCGTTTCATCCTTTGCACGAGTTTCGGTTATGTCAACCTATCCAGCGATATTCCGTAAATCATTTTATCATATGTATTATATAACCAAGCGATCGTTTAATAGCGTTTTTGAAAAGAAAAATTGAACGACCATAGAAGCTCATTTGATTATTTTGGTTCAAGTTTTATTTATCAAGAGAAAAATTCGGTTTTTTTTTGCAAATTATTTTTAAAAAATTATATAGACATTTCAAAAAATTTTTAAAAATTTATGAATAAACTTTTTTCAAATTTTTTTTATTATTGCTAGACACAGTTGTTAATCGTGAACGATATATGATTGATTCTTAAGTCGACGTACCGCATTGAGATAATTCTGTGTTAATTGCACCATTTCGTTTCCAATTACATCGAGAAACGATTTCATTCGTTCCTCGGTATACGCTGGTCCGCTTAATTTCCATAAATCATCTACGAATACCGAAATGGCTTCACAAGCCTCTTCTACAGCGATTAATCCATCTCTATATTTAACATAAAAGTTATAATAACTGTACAATAGAGATAGTAAAGATATCTAAATAAAATAACAAAGAAACTTTGAATAAAAATCTTTAGTACATTAAAACCTGTTTTTTTTTTTCATTTTACTTATTATAAATTATTACAAGTTATACATTTATATGAAAAATTTTTTGTTAACAGTATTTTAATATTAACATCGATCGTGTATATCTTTGGAGCTTTTTTAATTATTTCATATTCCATATTTCAAGATATGCAGGAAGGAAATTAAATGCACCTCGACACCGCGGCATTTTCGAGTTCGACCCTGATGTTCTTCACCGATTTGGCGGCTTCCTCGCAAATAGTTTTCTCGTGCGACCGTTTCACCTCATCTCGCTTCCGTCGCCAATACTCTTCTTCCTCTGCGACGGTGATCGAGAATCCGGAGCTGAGCAGCTTCTCTTCGAGTTTCTTCAAATACGATGTGCTTAAGCCCGACGATCGGAGAGTCGGCGCCCAAACCTGACGAAGACCTTCGATCAATACCGATCCGTCTCCGCAGCCGATGGAAGCCACCTGGACCACGTCGTGAAAGTTCTCTTCCGTAATCACCGCCGCTGTCATCTGCGCTCATTTTTGCACCATCAGCAATGTATATGACGTGCCTGACTAAATCGTATTTCAGCTTTCTAGAAAATACTTTCTATTGTCGAGGAATAATCGCGCTCGTCAGAATTCAATATGACAGTCATTAAAGATCAACGAAAGAGAAACGTACAAATCAACGGTTGCATCAAAAGCAAATGAAAATGTTTCTCGACAACAGCAGCTTCTTTTCTCTACTCATTACATTTATATTTTCATCTACTTGTAGATATACATTTTTCCTTCCTATAGTAGAAGCTTTGTTAAGGTACCTTAAAGAAGACCAAATTGTTGACCGTCCCGGCGCCCAATTCGGTGCTCAATTTCAAACGAACTTGCTTCTGATCCGCGTCGATTGGTCTGGCGCACAGAATTTTACATGACGACTGCTCCAAGAAACGATCGAGGATCTCTCGATCCTCGATATCATCCTCATCGTGTTGCACGGATGCGCCGAAGAAATATCCCGCCGTGGAGGCTATGAGATATTTACGTTTATCGACGACTACCATTTCGATCGGTTTAAACACGCTTTTTTTGCAACGCGTCACAAATGGTCTCGGTGATTTCCTGAAAAAGCGACGTAATCGGGCTCACCAGGAGGTGCCGGGTCGTCACGACGACCAGCCATCAACACACAACAGCTGTAGCTATCGTTACACGCATCGCTGCACGTGCGCGAATGCGCGTGACGCTGCTCCAATCTGTCAGATTGCTTTCTATCTAATCGCACTATAGTAAAAAAATCTTTGACCTTATATATAAATATATGTATGGTATAATTATAGGTATGTATAGTATATTATATATGTGTGTAATATAATTATAGCTATGTGTAGTATATTATATTACATAGGTTATATAATAAAAGAACGATATTTTTACACAATGCCGTATCATAAACACTTTAAAACCTCGTAAAATGCGTCAAATTTCAATATGTGAATCGTCCATATAATACAATATATACTGAGATTGAAGAAATATGAATAATTATTGATTAATCGTTGAAAGAAATTGCATATAAAATTGCGAAAGTATATTGAATTAAAAAAGTACATTAAATTAAGAAAATATTTATTCTATTTAAAGAAAAAGTTAACTGACATTATTATTCAAATCCAAGAGTATTGATTCTCAGCAAGTGTACGTGTTGATATTATCATGCCGGTTACTAAATTTATCACAGTTATAGCTTAAACGCACAATTAATGAGCTCAACTCGTTCTCTGTGTTATGTGAAAGAAAAAAAGCTATAATTAATAATCTTATCTGACAGCTTCTAACTGTGCTTCTAATCAGCTGGAACTTATGACTTCTTAAAAAGACGCTACGTATACACATAACTTGTAATTTTTACGCGAATAGATTGCGTAAATTATACTAAAAAATTATAATAAAAACATCCAAGTATATCATGAAAGAAAATGATTTTAATTGCAAATAAAATGTTGAATACGATGCGAGAATAAAATAATTTTATCTTTACACGAAATAAATATCTAAGTTACGCGTAGATTCTCTCTTGAAAAGGAGGAATAACTCGCAGCTCTAAGAAAAAATTTAGAGATACACGTCAGATATTGAGAAGTTATAAAGTGTTTCCTACGTAAGTACTCTCCCTCGGTTTCTTTGACTGCATTATGCGCGGGATGCCTTGTAAATTTATGGAGCGTGCATACTTTGCGCCTTACGAGTGCTTATGCGATCGGAACGTACGCGTGTGTCGCGTGCTTGCTCGCATCAAGGCCGCAATATCGGAGCACCTTCCTCTCGGACCCTCGGCAAACGACTCTCCGACAATTCTATCTTCCATTATTATTTATTACATTATTCGTTGTTTTACGGGAGAAAATTTTACGCAGAAAATGATGAAGCGAGAAAAGTTTTTAAAAATATTGAGAAAGATGAAGGAGCATCGATATCTCGCGAAGAAGTCTCTGACTGAATATAGTCCGACATATACTCGGATACTGCAAGGCCGATACTGTCGGCAATGTTTCCTCATCGGCCACCGACGCCACGATAATGATCCATGGATCCACAACCTAGATCGCCATTCCAGACGCTCAGTCGTATCGCGAACATGCGCGTGTGAGCTCGATTTGTTGTTTCACGCAGACAAAGCGTTCGAAAGTAGATTTCTATTTGGGCTTTTTTTTTCCAACGACATATTTTCTCCTCAAGAATAGGCGACAACTTTATGCGGCAGTCGAACGGTACTCGCGGTGAGTTAAAGAGGTTTGCTTGACAGCTATACACGTTCGGCGACTTTCGCGTAGGAATTGTCTAAGAGTGTCTTCTATATAAAGTCAAGAATTATGGTGAATAATAGTTTTATTAATATATTTTGTTGTATATTATTAAACACTATCTTAGAAAGAAAAAAGAAGAGTAAAGAATTATCTAATGGCATAGTATCTCATGACATATTTGAGACATTTCAAGTACTTCTAATTATTATAGTTATAGTTTTTGAGAGTTGCAAATAATAGAAATAATTTTCTTAGTTGAGAAAAGTGCGAATAAATAATAAAATTTTTTATTCTTTATCTAGCATTACGTTTATTTTACACATTAACAAAATTAATCGGTTAATTTAATCAATTAAATATTGGAAATGTTTAAATTTAATATTAAAAATAAAAAAAATCTTTTTTTAAAAAAAGCTGCACGAGTAAAATTTTTGTTAAAGAAACACTGACTTTTCAAGTAAAATATTCACTGTGTATTCTATTTAATAAAATATCTATAATCAAAACGAAACAGTGCTTGTAAAACTTTTTATATGTTAGATATTTTCTTGATAAATGCCACGTAAAATAATTGTCAATTGAAGAGTATATACAGATGGTACCATGTAAATCCCTTTTTCTGATTATCTTTAATTTTAATATTTGTACAGCTGTCGAAATGCAGGGTCAAATGCACTCTGCATTCCATGATCAACAACAGACCGAGTGGCATTTTTGTATCGTTACTCGCAACATGTGCTTCTTTTATCGATATTTATCAAATCGTTAACAAAATGAATTCATCCCAAGACTTGGATTTTATTGCTTAATTAGTGCCATGATCTTGCTTAATAGGTGTCGATTATTTTTAACTCACTGCGTATTTTTGCTTAGAAAACAGCAATATTCTTTATAAATATAATACTTTTTCCGTTAATTTAACGCATATTATATCGTGTAGAGAATTATATCTCTCATGAATTATATATTTTATATATTGTAAAATATATATAAAATATCATACTAAAATTACTTCTTGATATAGAATCGAAATCATAAGGAAGACATTCTTTCCTTATTCTAATAAAATTGTAATTTACTATCATGTCTCGGAATTGATAAGTTTTGAACATATTTGAGAGATAAAGAAAGAGAGAGATAAAAAAATTATCACTTGTTTATGATTGTATAAATATGTGTGTATAATTAAGTTTTTGTTTACGTTTCATTTAATTGACTTGTATACATGTGCGCGTATACATAAAATTCAAATTTAGTCAGATAAACTAAGATAACAAAAATAGGGAAGATGGATATGTGTTGTGAAAACGCGAGAAATTATTCCGTATAATTAAGGATGAATCATGCATCGTGCATTCAAAGGCTCGTAATAATTGCGAGGAATTACGTAAAGAGATGCTTGCATGGCGTCCATAGAACTTTACATTTATGGACAGTAGTTGGATTTCTTCCAAACCTTCTTTTTTGAATTTTTTTAAACTTCCTCGCAACATATTATACCGAATAAAACATGTAGAACACGACAAACTAGTATTGTAAAGTATCAATTTAAAAAAAGAATTGTAGTCTTACTAAAGAGCAGGAAAAAATTGGGAAAAATTTTTTTATGTAAGTAATTAATTAAAAGTTTAAAAATTTTGCAACAATCTATACATTTATCATTTTATAAAATTTAATTTTAGTTTTTACCTTTTGTCTTTTCTCTATGTTTGTTTGCATATTTATAGATAGAGATCCACTTTCATATTTTTTATATATACAATACATTTTCTTTTTTTTTCTTCAGGTGTCAAAAAAACTTTATCGCTTCCTCCTCGACATGAGCATTGAAGGTAACAAAGGGTCTCCGAGCGTCATTACGCTCGCTTTTTCGATATTGACGCATTTTCTACTCGTGGCTCCTGTGATATATATCCTGGTAGTCGCTTTTGGACACTACAGTTTCTTCTCTTGGCATCCGATTTGCATGTCTGTTGGGGTAAGTGTCAATTTAAATTACTATAAAAGAAATAATAAAAAGGCTTGATAATTTTCAAGTCAGAGTGTTCATGTTTTATGATTACAATATGTATAAAAATCATGGATAAAACTATTATGAATCTTGTCTACTATGCAGTATGTCTTTTAATCTTTCTGTTGCAAAGTTTTATTGTATTATAATTTTATAATTCCCGATATTTCTTTATTCTTGTTGTGGCGAAGGTCGGTCTGCTGATCACAGAGGCTGTCTTCAGCATCTCCGGTGAGGCGTACATTGCTTCGAGGCTACCCAGGCGTAACCGAGTGACGATACACTGGATTCTACACACGATAGGTCTAACCATAATCGGGATCGGTTTCATCATCATTATCGTCAACAAGATAAACAATGATAGAAAGCATTTCGCCACGACTCATTCACAATTGGGCTTGGTAACGATTATACTGTCCGTTCTGACCGCCACTTTCGGAATCCTGGCCAACAACACGGTATGGATATATCCACAAATAAGACCAGTGCTCATCAAGGTCGCTCATGCCTGCGGCGGCATCGGCATGATTATACTTTTACTGGCGACTCTCATCAATGGAACCTACACCAAGTGGTGGCCCGGCACCGTCACGGGAAGAGACTTGATCTTTGCATCATTATTTTTCGCGGGCGTTTTAATACTCGTGAAACCGATACTCGGCGCTTTCTCGAGGTGCAGAGTCGTATTTGGACCACCCTCGAGTGATACGTAAGGGTGACGAAAGTCTGATGTCTGATCGCGCCGCACCTCGAGAGAAACCAATTGCGAGAAGTCGTCGCCCTGAGAAACAAAATATACTTGATCGATCGAATTATATCGAAAAACTAACGATTATAAAAATTGGGTGTCTTGTGTTCTTGATGTAATCTTCGTAGAATACCCAATGGAATAGCGAGAAGCCAAAGATCGTAGAACTAATCTTGTTAGCTGAATGTTATGCCTCACCGATACCATCGGGAAATGTTATTCATTGATATGAATAATAAAGAAAAAAATACCACGTTCTATACCAACGATCAATCAATTATGGCGAAAAAACCCGGTAGCGCATCGTTGATACCACATGAATAACAATACTTTATTGATTACACACGCATCATATACATTTATCTCACACATTATAAATTTATACATATATACGCGTACGCACGTGTATGTATTTTTGTGTGTGGGTGTGCTATATATATTTTTTATAATACAATGTACATGTATATATATAGTAAAACACAACGCGCGTATTTATTTGATATTTCCACATATCTTTATATATACTTTACTTCACATATTAACATGTAATAACTTTTCTGAATCGTTAATAATTTTTGTCTGAGTTCAGTCCCTCGTTTTTCTTCTTTTACTTCCATACAATTATATAAGATTATCCAACAATATGTAAACACATACATACAACCTCGTTTTGTCTTCGAAATAGAATCATTTTTTTATATTGTTTTGCTCTGTAACTCTCTTCCTTGTATACATTTATTCAAGGCATCATTGTGTCTTGATTGTATGCTATTTTTAGTGTAACTGTTTAACATTAAAACATCAGTATCTCTCTCATATTATCAGTTCTACAATAAAATCGCTTTCTTACAGAAAATATTTATTCTAAAGATAATCGCGCAAATCAGCCAGTCAAAGAAACGCGTTTCTTTTGCGCAAATACATCCTCGAATATAATGATCTTGAGTAGAAGCTCCTTTTTCTACAATCTGTTTTTTCTATTATAAAAAAGAAGCTACTCTTAAAAAAGAGAGAGAAGCTTCTTTTTCATGTTTTATAATTATATATTAGAATACATTATTTTGTACTGTTCGCTCTACTGGTTGCTCCTAATGACACAATTAAAACTGTAACATTATGCGATAATAACAATTTCTTCAAGCACTTGCCACAAAAATATAACACAAAACAAAAAAATCTGTCATTTCTGTTAATTATTACAATTTATCTGTTTTGTAAAATTATTTAATTGTTAGAACAGAAATCTTACGATGTAAACGAAAAAATGCGGCTTATATCAGATCTTATTTTTTTTTAGATTTGAAATTATTCCCATAAACTAACTCGATCGAATTTAATAGTGTTATTATTGTATTATCGCCGCGTTGTTACTGTTCACAATGCGTCATTGCTCTTAATCCTACTTATTATTAAAACAGTCAACCATTTGACTTGGCCGGTATGAGACAGAACCAGTGACTAACATTATTAATTATCATTATTTTTTTTGCACGGCAAGCTATATACTTTTAATAATCATTAAAGGCCGCGCCATATATCAGGTAACTTTTGCATATAGTCTAAAAACATTAATATTATTAAACATCTAACTGGTTTAATGGGTGATTGATTCAAGGAGAGAAGCAATCGTAGATCTAACGGCACTTTTATAATATAACATATTGGCTATATGTAACTTTCTCGAAATGCAGCTTATCAAAACGTTCTTTTTCTTTACTTTCGTGTTTGTACAAACTTGTATAATCTAAAGTGAAAATTTCACAATTATTTAATATTGCAATTGAACGTGCATTCATATTAATTATAATATTTATAGAGGCTGTTTCAGTTTTAGTCATGGAATTATTAAAATATACCTTTATTTCCGTTACACATTCTCTAAAATCTTTAGATTTCTAATTTTGTAATAGTTTTTGATTTTAGTTGCAAACAAAAAGATTTGATTTCCGATTCATCTGTCATTTTATAGAGAAGAGAAGATATATTGAAAATAAAATTATGAAAGTTTAAAAGACCGATCTCTACCGGAGAGTATCATGTCACAAAATGATTAATAGTACAAGCTATATAAACAGTAAAAGCTATTCTGAACAAGACACGCTTCGGATAATTGATATATCGATATCCAAATATGCAAATCCATTCAGAGCTAAAGCTACTCTTTTCATTTATAAATTTTTCAACTCATTCGGAATTGTCTTTCCTTTGAAAAAAAATTATCTCAAGGCATCAATAGTTTTTTTTTTTTTTTAATTATAATAGTGATAGTTGAGATATACAATCTTTTGCTAGTTTATCACTTAATATTATTCAAAAAATATTTTGCGTTAAAATAAAGAATTTCAATCTTTTCTGCTAATTGCGCTATTATATACTCGTCAATAAACTTATATTAGCTTCCTCCATAAATTCACTAATTATAATACATCTTACAACTTTCTTGTCTACTTCTCCATTCGTTATCATCTTTTACTGCATATCCAAAATATCTATAATCTATTCCCTGAAAACTTTTGCACATTAAAAAGATACGTACCAATAGATATTAGCGATTTTCGACATTTACTGTAAGGGATTATTATACATTAAATTTTCTCCTCGGTTTCTTTATTTTCACGTGCTACTTACTTTTATCTTTACTAATTTCATCTCTCCATTTGTTAGATGTATCGTAAATTCGTTTTCATGTGTAATAAGTTATACATATAGCTTCTAATTCTCTCTATTCCATTGCATAGTTAAAATAATCAACAATCTTTGCAAATAAATATTTATCTATGTATTATGAAATGAATCATTGTAATATCCCGTATCATACATTTTGATATCGTATCTTTTTCAATTTCTTTTAATCACTACTTAATTTTATACAGATTCTTGCATTTTTAGCCATATTTTGGCTACAAACTTTTAATTAACTTTTTATTCAAGTTTTGCTATTAAACTATTTGATTAGGGAGAAATATCGCAGTTTACTACTGCAAAAAATTTATTGCAATCTTAATTTACTACAAAACAAGATAAAGAATTTGTAAAAGCCTATACACATGTTTAATAAAAGGCCTGTTTCTTGAATAATTAATCGTAAGGATTAAATCCAATATAAAAGTTATATTATTTTTGATAGAATAATTTAGAAAAAAATACGATTTAAGATATATTGTTTTATAAATAGAATTGAATAAAAAAATACAATAAAATAATTCATCTCATATTGCCAATCGTAATTGATATTGCCAACATTATGTGAGAATACTTGTTCATTCCAATTAGACTTACCTTATATTGGACACACTGTATCTTCGACATAATTATTTTAAGATTTTGTTATTGTACGTAAAACAAACGTATCATATCATACCTGCTGCGAGGTAATTAGATCGGTTTTACTAGAATTCTTAAGAATCGATGGTCCGGGAAGTTTCTGAGTTGTGGTGACGGCGCTGGGCGGTTGTACCATCATCGGTTGACCATTCACCAAAATAATCGTGTCTCGTACTGAATCGTATGCTCCCGGTGGTCCTTTGAGACACGAATATAAATATTATAATTCGATGTCCATGATTATTGACATTCGAAGTGATGAACAATCATTACCTGAGGAAGGCGTATGAATCAGAGTTTTGGAAGGTGTGAAAGAATTTCGCGATACCGGACCCCAGTTGGATGTTGGTTGTAACAATATTTTTATACGATCCCATATATTTTTATTTTTGCCCTTTCTTTTCTTTGATTTTTCATAGGATTCGCTGTTATCGAGCTCATCGTCATCATCATCATCTTCGTCATCGTCATCATAAGCTGATCGCACACGCTGTTCTTTCAGTTGATCCTAAATTGTCATCTCTTGTATAGAATATTCGTCATCATGCTACTGTATTTAAATAAAGAGATCGTTTCACAACTTACTATAGCTAAACCGACAATGATTAAAACGGGAAGCATACTGATAACCCAGCCTAATACATCCGCCCATTTCGGATAAATGTAAGTTCCATATTTGACAGGCTCGTATTTTACCCAATTAAAGCAGAGAATGAAGAATAGTGCGGCGGGTGTGATAACTTTCCACATCCACGTCCAGAAAAATCTCCATAAACGACCTCGAGGCCCGATCATCTGTTCAACATCGTTCAGAAAGCGATCCGCTCCATATATCCATGCCACGAGAATACATTCGGTTATAGCGATCAACAAAACGGACCAATTGGCAGCGTACTTGTCCATTAATTGCAGCCAGTACATGCCGGCCTATGAAAGAAAAATGAAAGTTGGTTCAATAATATGTGCCAAAAATCTAGAATAATTTGTCTTCTATATTCAAAAAACAAAAACTAAACGAAACTTACGTTCGTGGTGAAAATAATGCCACCGGCATAGCCGATTACTGAAACTCCTAAAACGACCCAAATCTTATAATTTCTCAATGCTGGAATGCCATCGAGCATCGCCGTAGTAACAGTCTCCATGAGAGCGAATTGCGAATCGAGACCTAGAGTGAGCAACATGATGAAGAATAGCAGCGACCAAACAGGCGCAATCGGCAGACGAGACACAACCTACGAACAGTCATCATACAAAGAATCTTTGATGATTATATTTGAATATCAATATAGCGCGCCAATATATAAGTTGACGAGAAGATTACATATCTCATTCAATTTAATTTTTTTCACTTAGCATAAATAATACTATATGAATAAATGATAAAAGATGAAAGATGTGAAAAAATGTGCATAGTTCCTATACTTAATTAAGATCTAAATATATAATTGATAATAACCTCCGGATAAACAATGAAAGCCAAACCAGCGCCTTCATCTACCACTGACGCCACTGGTACGTCGAGCTCATGAGCAAGGAAGCCGATCACCGAAAAGATGACCAGGCCGGCGAAGAAGGAAGTTCCAATATTGCTAATCGCCACAATTAAAGAGTCTTTGTAACAGTTGTTGGTGAACTTATTATACGAACTTAAAGTGATTAAACCTCCCCAGGCCGGACTCAAAGCGAAAAAGATCTGTACCGCGGCATCTCCCCATACTTTAGCAGACATTAATCTTTTCCAATCGGGTGTCAGATAGAAAAGTATTCCTTCGTTAGCGCCAGGAAGTAAAATTCCACGAACAAAAAGAGCGACCTAGGAAAAAAATATACAATTGTTTTATAAAAAACGCTAAATTTCTGTTACATATAATCATAAATTAATTATGAACATACCAGAACGACGTATGGGAAAAGAGCGGTGAAGTATACGACTTTGCCCGAGCTTTGAACGCCTTTGCTCAGACAAAGAAATACGATAATCCATGCTAGAAAAAGACTAGCCGCCATGAATGGTCGAATCGATCCAGTTTCCTCAATCCCGCTACTAATTCCCAATACATGATTCCTAGAGAAACGAGAAAATTTTCTCTCTGTATATTTTTTATTTAATTGTTGCTTTTGAAAAGAGAGTGAATTATGTATTTATTCATATTACGAATTATATATTTTGAACTAAAATTATATTATTATTATTATTAAAAAACTAATCCAGTTCACAAGAGATAAAGCATATGCAAAAGGCTGATCATCACAAGGTAAAAAGTATGGCTGTACAAATATGACTTATACAGATACAAAATTAGATCGACAAATTGATAAAACATCGTGATAAGATAAATGAAATAAAGCGCTGAGAAAAAACATAATTAGCTTATATGATGTATGTCATTACTGAAAATATTCCTCAGCCGGCGGTCTTTTGATTGCACTAGTTATATTCTCGATAAACAAACCCATCGCAGTCATTTGAGTTGAATTGAGACATTTTCTTTTAAAATAAGTAGCGTTTTGAGAGACACAAGCTTCAGCAGCGTCTGGCATGAAACAATCCTCGGTACTCCACTCTATTTCGCATTTGCTCCAAGGCAATTCCCAACCACCTGTGCAAGAAATTTAAATAAATAAATGTAAAAGTTTAAAATATACAGAATTTAATTTTAATGATTGGCGTTTTTATATGAATCAAGAGCTAATCTTTCCATGGCGCAAGAGGAAAATTATATCAAAGATAATTACCAATCATTGAAAATTTCCAATTTTCAATTCCATATATTTGTATAATTAAGTTTCAAAATAAAATTTTATTGAGAAGCAAAGTTTACCAAAATCTACTAACAATAAGAAATAAAGTGTTGTGCGCACTAGTTATATTTTTTCTAAAATTTAGTTTTAAAAAAAATTCCTTTTCTTTAATCGTTTACAAATCTGATATTATTAGCACAACAATGGTACTAAACATTGTCGTTAAAAAAGTATCAATTTGTCAGAGAATTTGTGTCAGTCTTAAAAGTAAAATCGAATTACGTATAAAATTTTCTATACATCAGTATAATTATTTACCAAAAATTGAGGCAAATATGTAATACAGCGTCCAGGCGATGATTAGATTATAATAGAGCATCACAATGGAACTAACGAGAACCATTCCGTATCCTAAGCCGCGAAGCAACGGACAAAACTGCTTGTAAGCTGCTACCGGTCCGAGACTGGCATATTGTCCTGTGGAATAGAAAAAAGGACAATATAACGGTTGCAAATAATTCGCATTGTCACAAAGTGTTTGATATCATTGTTTCGTTCACCTAAAGAAAGTTCCATGAACATAAGAGGCAATCCAGCGATGATGAGCATCACGGTGAATGGTATCAAGAAAGCACCGCCGCCATTCGAGTAGCAGAGATACGGAAATCTCCAGACATTTCCGAGGCCTACGCTATACCCCAGAAGAGATAATAGAAAATCGAATTTCCCCGTCCAGGTTCCACGTTCCGGATGATCATCCTCACTGCCCTGCAAGGGCGCTTGACTATTGGCCACTGAATATTTGTCTTCATTCTATAAAAAAAAAATAACATCATTATTTATTTTTTTATAATATTTATTAGTTCTATTTAAATAATTTTACGCGATGCATTCGATCGTGATGATATATGATATATGAGATTCGGACAGATATTCATCAAATTAATGTAAATCTAACTTACATCCCAATCCAGATAAGGACGTATTCTTGAAGATGCCTCTTCCATTTTCTACATCGATATGATTTCCCGCTGCCGTAATATCAATTGTTTCTTCGTTTTCTCATGGCTACCGAATCGTATCCATTAAAATTCAATTGTTAATCGTACTAATTAGCTCTCTTTAGCGAATGGACGTTTTACGCGTTCATTTCTTCGAATGTTCTGTGTGTAAAAACTTTTTAGCTGATATTAGAACATTAAATATTCTTCTATTGTTACGTTTATCTCACATAAAAGATACGATAAACTGCCTTATTTTATTCTAAAGAATACAAAAAGATGCAAGAAAGCAAGTACTTTTTCTTGCGGACAAAATGTTTCATCTCGATTTTCCGTCATCTCTATATCGAAATTCGCTACATCATTTTAATAATAATTATTCGCGTTCTAATTGAGTTATTATTGGATTAACACCAGAAAGATAGATACGCGCTAGGGTAATGACGCAATCGGTCATGTTGGAAAAAAACTTAATATTTCTATACATAACTTAATTGAAATAAATATTGTATAAATCTCAAAATTACATTAAATTATTTTTTCGTTTGACTAAAAATATATTAAAAATATTCTTGTTAATACAACAATATTGCTTTTTTTCAATGCAAAAAAGCTAATTATAAATTATAATTGAATACTAACCAATTTCCGATTAGTACTATTTTTCTAATTAATATTTGATGATGCAAATAATACTGGAAGAGATAAAATATTACTTAAATTAAGATTAAAATAAAATGATGTCGATGAACCAAACATAAATTTATAAATTCGTGTCTTTATTGTATATATTATATATGTATGTCACTTACTTGTGTCTTTATCGACTAAAATCACGCATATTCATACATCCATTCAAGCATTTTGAAACACAGACATGTTGCCGGTATTCGTCACAGCTGATGATTGACACTATCGATCTACCTATCAACCTTGACAGAGAATCTTGCCAAGGTCAGACTCGCACTGTCATTAAATGTCAAGGCCACTCTCGGCAGGTCTATGATCGCGAAAAGAGAACGGAAGAAGGAGAAAGAAAAAGAACCGGGAGATGAAGAGAGGCAAACAGATGTGGAAAATTGATTGAAGGAGCGATCCGTGCCCGGGCAACTCGCCGGCCTATCTGGCTGTCTGCTTATAAGGGAGCTTTTCTATTTGTGACCCTCTTTACCTCTCTCTCTCCACAACCCTGTTCACTCCCGCGTTCCTACTACCCTATATTCTCTCTCTCTTTCGCGCCCAGATGAGACCTGTCGCGAGCCTCAAACTCCACTCAGATCGATCGATATTACTGCTCCTGCGAGCTGTGTTCCATCCTAAACCTTGTTTCTATCCTCTCTCTTACTTCGGCCACTTTCTCAGTGCTATCGCATATCATTATTTATTCTATTTAGGCCAGGTTTAGCTTCAGGGAGGGAAATGCATATATGTACTCGCAAGAAGAAATCGATGAAATTCAGGAGTAATGGAAGGATTAATCCGTTTATCATCTATAATGTATAACTTGAAGATTAACATTACTGATAAGCATAACGAGAGTAAAGATCAGAAATTTTTTTATGTAAAAAAATTAAATCTTAATTTTTTTCGTATGTAAAACGAAGAATTATTCTTCCAAATAACCGCATTGTGCGTTAAAAGGTTTTGAAAAATTCAGGGAAGTAAAATATTATTTTGAAATTATCATATACAATATGTAGAAGAAATTGTCATATAAAGGATCTATGTCTATCTTGATTATACTTAAATTAATTGATTGAACAAGTCAATTGAAGATAATTAAAAAATGAATCATAATTTTTTATTTTTATAAATTTTACCCAACCTTAGAAAAGAGATAAAAAAAGAAGCATTATTAATTTCACTTTCTATTTAATCTTACATAACCGTATTGAATGCTGCTGTGCAACTATACACAATAATTCATCACCTTTACCTTTCAGGAAATTGTCGATGCATCTCTTTATTGATTTCCGATGAGTTAATTGTCACTGCCATCAATAGAAACTACTGTTATCTTCCTCCACAATATTCATTTTTCTCACCATGCATCCTTTTTCACATATTCGTCATTTTACGAGTTTACATGTATGATTTTTGGTAAATGCTGCAGGATCGAGAATTGTTGCAATCGTACGCTAAGAGAAAACCTGTTCGAAAAAAGAACATGAACTGACGAGTTCAAATATCAAACTTATAATTCAATACATCATATAAATAAGTGTAATAACGCTTATATAGTATAATTAACAATTGCGATGATTGATGATGTGATTATTAAAACAATTGTTTATTGATAAATTTTACAGTTGTATTAAAATATAACTACCTTGTTTAACCTAATACTTGTGCGTTTATAAGTAGAAATAATTTAGCGGTTTTCCTGCCGGATATATTTTTTTTCACAAGTGCGAGAGACATTAAAAATGTCCAAGCGATCAGTTGTAACTCTAATAAAACAAGGAAAGTATTCGCGTGCGAGTCGCGTATGCATATTTATACCTGGATAATTTTTCAGTGAGCGCAGTTATATTTTGAAGATATCTGCCGCTAAAATGGCGATTTGAAATGCAATGAATATATCGATTTATCGCATAGTGATGACGCACGATCGCGATTAGGGTGCATTCGAAAATCCTCCTCGTAGGGTAAAGTAGCTTAAATTGACCAATCAGGACGAAGAAATCTTTTCTACTTTTGTCCTGATTGGTCAATTCAAAGCTACTCTATTCTACGAGGAGGGGGAGGATTTTCGAACGCACCCTTAGTCGAGAGCCGTGCGCGATAACTCGTGGCCCCGTTGGTGCCGATTGCAAACGGTAGACGTCAGTAGGCAGAAAAAAAAAAAAAGGAAGAAAGAAAGACAGGCAAAGGCAGGCTTGTTTCTCGCGCGTGTTCTCTTATCCCGCGAGCCTGTCGAGTCGCGTCGATCCCCGCGTGTACCCGCACGAGATTCGCGAACCGTCGATTTTCCTAACCTCTAAAACGCTCCGGATTCTCGGAGTACCTCCTACGCGAGGACAAATTCATCTCTTGGACTCTTTCTCTCGCTCGTAGTTCCATCTATATGTCCTCTCTCTGTCCTGTCTTTGCGCTCGCTCGCTCCCATTTTCATTCCTCTATGTTTCCCTATCGCCTTTAGCTCTTGGCAGATCTTTAACAACCTCCCACCTTCGTCTCTCCGACTCCGACGTGCGAAAAGTGAGGGGAACCGTTTGGAGATCGTTTGGACACGGTGAAAAATTTGTGTGTGTGGAGAGATTATAAAAATATAGTGCGCCGCCGAGTTAAATAGCGAGGATTTGTAATCGTGTACAACAGCGATATATACATATATACATATATATTGTTGCGCGGAGTGTGTGGTGACAAGCACGGTGGCAAGATTCAACTTTCTGTCACGATCGCCGAGTAAACAGGCAAAATTTCGACGATTTACGGTCTATGAGCGCCAAGAGTCAGGGGGACCCTGGAGAAGATCACGTTTCCAGGTGTCACGAGAGTCGTTGCGTTCTTTAGTGTCGCTCGCCAAACTCGCTTTTAAAATAATGCGTCGTCATGCGTCTCCGACAAAGTAAACTCATTCGAAAAGTCATATGGAAACGCACGGTTCTCTCCTCGGCGATGACGTTTGTGCACAAAGTCAAATTTGTATCGATCACGAAATTTTACGCTCAAAAAAATTGCGCGGAGGTTTTTGCCATCTTAAATCTATATTTTTTTTTAACGCGAGCTCTCTTTCTCTCATTCATTCACTCTCACTCACTCTCATCGTCACTCGATTGTAGGCGCGCGAGGGATTTGTGTGACAGAGCGACATAATATTCCAACTTCATCATGAGATCGCGAAATCACAAGGATATCTATTATTAGCGCTTTGTTTTGGTGCAACGACATTGTATCATCCGACTTGGGGAATTACATATATGTACAATGACATATAATCCTCACACAATTGACAATTCTCAACGAATTTGTTTAGCACTTTTATATCGCATTTGTTAAAGAAAGATTCACGTGATTCTTTGATAGACATTTTCGCAATATTGTGTGATATAAAATGTAATGATTATATTTATATAGATAGGGGGGGATAGACAAGAATAATTAAGCATTTTAACGATAAATTAGAATTCTAGTATATAAACATTCACTCATCGTCACTCGATTGTAGGCGCGCGAGGGATTTGTGTGACAGAGCGACATAATATTCCAACTTCATCATGAGATCGCGAAATCACAAGGATATCTATTATTAGCGCTTTGTTTTGGTGCAACGACATTGTATCATCCGACTTGGGGAATTACATATATGTACAATGACATATAATCCTCACACAATTGACAATTCTCAACGAATTTGTTTAGCACTTTTATATCGCATTTGTTAAAGAAAGATTCACGTGATTCTTTGATAGACATTTTCGCAATATTGTGTGATATAAAATGTAATGATTATATTTATATAGAGATAGGGATAGACAAGAATAATTAAGCATTTTAACGATAAATTAGAATTCTAGTATATAAACATTCACTTTGTGATACGTACAATCTTATAACGAATATTTTTGCTCAGTGTTGTATCTTCAGAAATTTTGCAAAAAAAAGGATAGCTGTCATAAATAGGCATAACTATTCTTTCTTCGCACATATTCTATATATATCTTACTTTGTCATGTTTATAGGGTAAGAGCAGAGAGCCCTTGCAGCGACATGAAGCGCGCAGCTGCAAAAAAGCTCATTGAACGGTACTTTTACCAACTTACAGATGGATGTGGAAACCCTCATTGTGACAATCAGCATTGTGCCTCGAGTGGCAAAGTATGATTTTCAAAATTTATTTGTTCAGCTACAGTAAATTGTAAGAATTGGATAATATTTTACTTATGTATTTTATTCGCTTTTATACTAGGTTACTAATCTTACTCCAAATCAAGCAGCTGCTCAAGCAATACAATTATTTTCGCAAGAAGCAAGACTTTGCGACGGCACACAACCCAGTAAAGTCGCTCGGACTACTATAGAGCCAGGGCAAACGTCGTTGGCTAAGAGTCTACCTGTAAAAAGCGTTAATCCTACAAGCTCCGATGAAGGTATCTCAAGTTGATTTAATGAAGCTTCAATTTTGTTTCAAAGATAAAGTTACAAATTATAAGACAACATGCAAAAATAGATGACAATTGTAGATTATGTTTTGCAGATGCAAGTAACTGTAATACATTTTGATTTCTTACTAGGAAAACAAGAGCCATATCTTACAGAAGCTAAGCTTCTAGATATTATAGAAAAATGTAAAGCGGAAGATTCATATTCTTTATTAATTCGTACTTTGGGAGAGGTATTTTCTTCCGGAAAGGCATTAAGTCTCAGCTTCCAAAAGACTGAGAAAAGTAATTCTCCTTTGGCGGCGCTTCTCGATCGAGCGCCAGATACTTTATTAAGGCCACCTGCAGATTTAAACAAAGAAGCGGTACGATCTCTTCAAGGAGAGGATAAAGAAGAGGATAGCAGTGATCCATCACCTACAGTTCCTAATAATGACGATACTAGTGTTGACTTACCATCTGTTCGTAGAGCTTTTGAAGCACTTTGGTCACTTCCAGGTGTGAAAAAAAAATATATTACCTTATATATTTAACATGTAATTGTTATATATATTACTATTTATAAAGTTAAATGTTTCTTTATGTTTTCTAAACTATTAAGGTATAACTAATGACATAAAGACATTGCTTTTAAATATATAATGTCATTGATAAATATATGCTATTTCAATTTAATTAGGTGAAGTGTTCGAGTCAGCTTTGGTCAACGCATTAGTCACTTTGGCAGATGACATAGAATTAGATCTGAGAGTATTTCGCATAGTACGCTGGGACAGTATGGACAGTTTGTTAAATGTATTTCTCATTGTCTTTGAAATTCCGATGCTCGGAAATAGCGAATATTTGGAATTAGCCCTTCATATGTTATGTAAAGCATTGAGTTGCTTACCGGTAGTGGCTCAAGCTAAGTTGGCGCGTGTTTGGGCCAAGCACTGCAAATCACGGCTTCCAAATCTTCTACAGGCGCTTCAAGAACTCATCACTGTCAAGGTGCGTCTCCCGACTTTGATAGAGCGCTGATTTAATTCCAATCGATTTCAAAACGACCCCTTTATTTACTTCTCATAGTATTGAAAAATTTAATACTATGTTACAGGTAATAGGAGGATCGTTCACGCGCGATTATTGCGTCCAAGATGCGGATACTATTACCGCACCTACGAAAGTTATGAAAATTCTATACTACGCGAGTATGCTGGCTGGAGAATTAGATCCTCCTGAGCTGATATTGGGCGATGAGGCCGAATCGGCAAGTAGCGACAAAACTGTGTCACGATCGGCGATATCAGGACAAATTCCTCAGGTATCATCTCTATCGATATTCTCAGAGAAAGCTCAGTATATTTATTACATCACTTTTCTATAACATACAATGTTTATTTCAGGATCCGTTAGCGACAGAATTAGGAATTAACGCATTAGATGCACGTAAGCCATTCATACCATTTACTGATTTCTACAATGAACCGCTTAGCGATGCCATAGAGATGGACAAGGATTTTGCTTATTATAAGAGTGAAGAACCGATGAAATTTAGTTTTATGAATTATGCTTTTGTTCTTACACCAGCCACTAAAACTTTGGGTTTATATTATGATAATCGCATTAGGATGTACAGTGAACGACGTATGAGTTTTTTACAAACCGTTGTTGGGCAACCTACTAATCCATATCTCAGATTAAAGGTTTGTTAATTCAATGAGATGATCAATCATATAAAAGATATCAGTATACGAATTACATATTTTATTTAAACAGGTGAGGAGGGATCATTTGATAGATGATGCATTGGTGGAATTGGAGATGGTGGCGATGGAAAATCCATCCGATCTAAAGAAGCAATTGGTTGTCGAATTTGAGGGAGAGCAAGGTGTCGACGAAGGCGGTGTATCTAAAGAATTTTTTCAACTAGTTGTAGAGGAAATCTTCAATCCCGATTATGGCATGTTTACAACCCAGGTCAGAATTTTAAAAAATTAATTTTTTTATTTCTTTTTCTTTCAAAGATTGTGTGCATTTTCCTTCAAGGACAAAAACATACAAAATGATCAATTTCATCATTAATTTCCATAATAAAATTTTTCACTTTTTATGCATATTTTCTATCTTTATGATAGAAAATTACATAATAGCTGCGCTGATCTAACGTATATAATCGCCTTTCGTGGTCATAATTTAATTCTGTGAAACATGATTACCTCTATATTTCAGGAAGATACACAAATGACATGGTTCAATCCGACGTCGTTTGAAAGTGATGCACAATTCACGTTAATAGGCATCGTCCTTGGCTTAGCAATTTATAACAATGTAATTCTAGATGTACGTTTTCCAATGGTAGTTTATAGAAAACTGCTAGGTAGAAAAGGTGCTTTTGCGGATCTCGAGGATTGGAGTCCAACATTATATCGAACAATGAAGGAATTAATGGAATATACAGGAGATGATATGCCGGAGACATTTATGCAAACTTTCCGAGTGGGATACAGGTATGTTTTAAAATAGTTGAGAGAATCATGCACACGAGTGTGAACACTTCTCATTATATCTTCATTTTATAGAGACGTATTTGGGTCGTTATCGTTCCACGAACTCAAAGAAAATGGCGATGAACTGTACGTCACGCAGGAAAATAAAAAGGAATTTGCCGACCTTTATGCGGATTTTTTGCTCAACAAATCCGTGGAGAGACAATTTAATGCCTTCAGACGTGGCTTCCAGATGGTTACAGACGAGAGCCCGCTCGCATTACTCTTCAGACCGGAGGAGATTGAGCAGGTACAATCGTGTACAATCGTTGATATAGCGTAAACGTTATATCGAACGATTATTCTCACGATATATATTTGATACGCGCGCAGCTTGTTTGCGGAAGCAAAATATTCGATTTCGCCGAGCTGGAAGCAGCTACGGAGTACGAAGGCGGCTATACTGTTGACAGTGAAGCGGTACGTAACTTTTGGCGCGTAGCGCATTCTCTACCGCCTGAAAGTCAACGGAGGCTTCTTCAATTCACCACCGGTAGCGATAGAGTTCCGGTCGGCGGTCTTTCAAGGCTCAAAATGGTCATTGCCAGACATGGTCCGGATTCCGACAGGTAAAGTAACGTTAATTATTTTATATTTTGTCTCTCATTTATATATTATTAGCATGTAATTAACACGTATATTTTTCAGATTGCCAATAGCGCACACGTGCTTTAATGTTTTATTATTACCGGATTACAGTACAATAGAGAAACTGCAAGATCGCTTATTGAAAGCAATTAATTATTCAAAAGGTTTTGGCATGTTATGAGCATGCTGCACATCGCCCCACTTTCTTCCCCAGTCTTTCGAATTATATATTCGAAGTTCACGATAAAACTCGATTCCTCTTTTGTCATTTTGATTGCAGCTATACTATTTGGAAGTATCTGTCATAATAATTGCAAATTGTGCCAGTGCGTTTAACATGGAAACATTACTTGTTGTAATATGAATCAACAACAAAAGGCTCCTAACATTCTAAAAAATTTCAACGAATCAAAGAGAGAGAATGAGTCCTTTGTACAAAACAGATATAACTTGAAAAACGCTTCACAACTATTCTTGCATCATTGCAAGAAATCGCTTGTACCATACTGTGTACTTTTTCTATTAAAGTAAAGATAATGAAGATTGATTTCATTAGCTATTTCGAAGTGATTGAGAGAAGAAGTGCAAAAGATGAATGTGAGTGTAAAAATATGGAAAACCAAGCGAAATCACATTATAGAAATAAATAAATGTAATTTTAGCAAGACATAATCGACAGAAACAGGATGCGTTTCGGAAACTCGACGGTTGCAACCGTTACATAATTTCATTAGATGATGAGGGTTAGTTTACAGAGTTGAACTCTTCTCTCATTCCTGACAAGCTAAACAGAAAATAATCATTATCTTTTTTTTTTTAGATAGTGAATCGTTAAGCATAAGTCAATCTGATTTAATTTATATATTATTTTAATTAAAAGCATTGAACTTTATTGATTTTATAATAGATTTAATTTAACGTATTTATGATATTAACAAATTGCACAATACTTGGCTCGCAGATAAGAGTAAAATTGATTTGTATTTATAAATATAATTTTCATATGCAAACAAGAGGGGATTTAATTGTATATAATATAATCATAAAGTTGTTAATCGTTTACAGATGTACAATCGTTTAGCTTCCTGAACGCATCTGATGCTGCAAAGCCGAAGACAACCCTTTTACAAAAAACACATTGAGCTAATGTCACTCTGGAATTTTTCTTTTTTTTTGTAAAGTAAGGCGTGAAATAACGGCGCTTTTGTATGTACATTTCCTTTCACTTTCTAACATTTTTCTCATGCATCACGCGCGTCATGATCAAGTATAGTATCAAATAGAAATTGAATTTGTATAAACGTTTATAATAGGCGGCATTTTTTCTCTTTAACGGCTGACAGACAGTCGTTTTATTGTTATTCATGTGACAATAAAGCTCTTGAAACAAGAAGCAAAACTTTCATCTTTTATTATTAATTACGTTTGTCAATTGTAAATCAGTTATATAATTTTGAGTACATGTGTGTGCGCGCCTCAGCTCAGGAGGAGAAAAGCGCAGGGCTCTGTAATGCAGTGGATCGTGGATCAAGGAGCTGTGGCATAACTGATCCCTGATCAGGTATCAGGTAAATCTTATTCCCCAATTTTACATAAAAAAAAGACTAAGCCAAACCAACTGAAAATGCGACGGTGATTTTTAGTGTAATACAGCCTTAACATGCTGAAAAATACCCATTAGTGCCGGTCTACAATAGTGATTTAAGCTCTAAGCCTTAAGAAATTGACTAATCACAGTCAAGTATGAGGAGAATACTCGACTGTGATTAGTCAATTTCTTAAGGCTTAGAGCTTAAATCACTATTGCAGACCGGCACTTATGTGATCTATATGATCGCGTATCGCGATCTTTCTTTTCGCGTAATGAAAAATGAGTAATGAAAAAGTTCATGCGGAAAAGTTTCACGTGAAATGTGAAATTACGTGATCGACCCCCAGGTCCAAGGTCCAGGCCTCAGATTGCGATCAGCTCTATAACGTGTGTAACTGTTTTCTGCACAAATCGACACTGGTCTAGTTTCCACCGAAGTATTAATTCGCATTTAGTGCGGCGTAGGACTAAATTTAAGTCGATGGAAATACGACTGATTGCGTTCATTTTACTCCTACTCCGATCTACAAGCTTTGTCGGAGTGGCAGCGAATTGACACGAAATTTAGGCGGTGGAAACCATAGACATACAGAATGGACTGAGCGCTTAGAACATATATAAATGGAAAGAGAATGCCTTTGTTTCCCGATAGAAAAACATGTCGGAAGGAAGTAAGAAAGAAAATCATAGTTGCCTCTCTCTTGTGAGTTACTTTGCTCAAAAGTGCGCATGCGCGGCCATGTGTGTGTACACAAAAGTATGTATACTACAGACACGATGCTTGTATGTGTAGTTACTCACAAGAGAGAGGCAACTACGATTTCTTTCTCACTTCCTTCCGACACTTTGGCCGGTATTCATAGTCCGTTCTTATATTCAAGATCGTCTTAAGTACGATCTTAAGATGCTAAGCGGCCATTTCATCGGTTGAATGAGATCTTAAGACGACCCAAGACCACACTTAAGACGATCTTGAATATAAGAACGGACTATGAATACCGGCCCTAATGTGAATTTTCCATTAACGAGTTAAACTTCGGTTAAAGTAAGTTGTGGAACTGGGCCTAAGGCTTAGAGCTTAAATCACTATTGTAGACCGACACTTACCAGTTCAACTAAAGAACACACGATAAACACAAAGGCTGCGTTCCGAAAGCACGCCTACGCGCTGAAAGTGTTGTTCTATCTTTGTTATTTACGGAAAGTTGAACAAGGACAAAGCATGCTCATAGCGCTAAAAGCGTGCTCCTGGAACGCAGCCAAAAATGTAACCTAGGGGTCTAGTGGGGCCTAGGGCCTAGAGATGGTACCAGTGTCTAGAAATTGATAACATGATGATGACATGACTTCCCCGGCATTAGAATATATATTTTTTTTTTATTGAGATATAAGTGTGGTGACGTTGACCCCTTAGAATATATATTATCATATTACTTCTTATATTAACGTATATAACAAAAATAAGGTATAAACGTATTAAAAAAATATATACGGAATGTGACATTATTATTATCATTACTTGTGAATAAATTGTGATTCCGAACATATACGCAAACAAGTGACTTCGAGAAATTGCATCAGACAATTTGGTCCCGCGACTTGACTTCATACAATACAATACTATATCTATATATTATACGAGATATTGCATTATCACTAATTAAAAGTTAATAATTAATTAGTTGAATAGAGAACTACAGCTGTTAATAGAAAGCTGTCGAATAATTCGTCACGCATAAGAAAAAGTAATTTTCTATATGTGACAAATAAAATAACAACATTACTCCATTTTCAAATTTTCATCAAGATTTTAGGATACAATTTTGTTGTCAATTTGTAAGTAATTCTATATTAAGAGAGTAAGTTTTATATAGTTCTACAAAACTTATTAAAATATTAATTATTATTGTAATGCTATATCTAATATTGTACAACTATATTAGAAATATGTATAAACAATAGCAGAAACCTTAGGTAAAAATTTTTTTCTACAAGACTACAACCGTGTATGTTTGCTCTGCTTTTTTTATATAATTTTTTAAACAATACATTCTGCATTTCCTAGTTTCAGGATGGCAAAATCACCAATTAGCGTACTCCAAGAATTATCAGTTAAGCAGGGATATGTTCCTATTTATAATTATACAGGTGTAAAGAAAGTTGGGATTTACGATCAATTTGTATGCAGAGTAGAATGTAAACAGTTCAATGCTGAAGGTGTAGGAAATTCCAAAAAAGACGCTAAGCAGAATGCTGCAGAAAACATGTTATCATTATTGACCGAGGAAAATGAACTTTCAGTATTATCTCCAGTCGCAAACAAAGCACAGATCTCTACACCGACAAAAATCTGCGAGCCAACATCACCATCAAGAATTCAGGCTCTGTCAAGCTCTAATGTTAACTATGTTGGATTACTACAAGTAAAGTTTGATCTGCTTATTGGATATTTAATAGATTAGCTATTGCACTATAATATCCGGGATATTATAATGCAATAGCTAATCATTAGAATATAATATAATTTCTTTTTTATATGCAGGAATTTTGTGTACAACAAAAGTTAATGATCAAAGATATATTATACGAAGTTGTCGATGAAAGTGGACCACCTCATATGAGAATCTTTACGATAGAAGCCAGTATAGGATCTGTACGTGAAAAAGGTTCGGCACAATGTAAAAAGATTGCCAAACAAGAAGCTGCAAAGAAGTTACTACAACATTTACATCCTGATATAAATAACTTATTGAAGGGAAATAAGAATACAAATTACAAAATGCTTGAGGATACTATACGAAAACTAGGTATAGGAATATCAGAATGTATAATTAGCGAGCCAGCATTACCAGTTGCAAGCCTATCGAAGAAGGCACAAACGTTGTATATGAAATGTAACAATAAGGAGCTTAAAGTGACCAGGCAGGATTTTCTACTCAAAGATCTTCATAATTTATTCGAAGAAACTTATTCCAATAAAATTTCTTTTAATATGAGGGAAAAAATGCAAACTGTACGGGACAAATACACCAATCATGCAGATATAATAGAAGAAGTCATACAAGATATTGTGAGAGCATTAGAAGTCAAGATAGAAAAAACTATTTTACCTAGCTTAATGAAAGGCTATATAATATGCTTACGCCTGTCATCCAATCCTATTATTACACAATTTGGCATGGATGAAACTAAAGATAAAGCAGAGATTCAGGCAAAGTATAATATTATTGTAACTGTTTTAGCACTTTTAAACATTTCTTAATGTATATATGTATAGAATAATAGAGCACGTATGAACAAACAGATAAAAATAAGAAATATCAATTTTCTTTTAGTTACATTTATATATTTTTAAGTAATAGCTCTGAGATTATATAATGATTGTGAAATTGTAAATTTATATATTTTATTCAATTATTTACTTTTTGTAAATAAAAGTAATTACAAAATATAAGATTATTGTAATAAATAATAGAGATTCCATCATCACATTTTAATTTTATATAATATGCAAGTTGAATGTCCAAACTTTACGCGCATGCGCAGCTTTCGACTATTCGTTTGAGACACGTTCCACTTGCCGATTACAACGCTCAGAATCATCATCTGTCTTTGTTTAATTTTCGGTGAACAACAAAGATGAAATGATACCGTGAACGTTGCCAATATCAAGTGAAATATGCCTTTGGCGCCAAACTTCTCTCGATTTTTCGTTTATGCAGTTAAATGATAATCGTGTATTTTTCCAAGGTTTCAGTCTCGAGAGATACATCGATTAATTTGAAAAAATGTCGGATATACGTATTTTGGGTAAACGATTAGCACAACGCGTCGGGCAAGAAGCGATCGTGCTTGGCAGAATCACAGGAGTAAGAAAATATTCCAAGTTAAATTAAGGTTAGGTTAGGTTATGATGTTTACCGGCATCCGAATTATACTACGAATATAATTAATATCGCTTTTCTTTTTGCAATAAACATTAATATTGTCATTAATATAGTCTAATAGATTATAATTGAACAAAATATTAATCCTCTCGCTTTTTGTAATTTTATCTTTAGAAAATGCCGAAGAATTTATCCAAGTTAACTAATTTCTTTAATGTTTTATAGAATAATTTCGTATTTGATAAATATTTATATTTTGATAATATATATTATATGCGTGTACCGCGCGCGGTTTGATGCGATTTGCAGAAAAGTTCGGATAGTAAGAGTGCAGAGATAACAACAACGGATGATGCTCGAATCAATGTGGCATTCCCAAAATCGCTCGACGAAGATATCTCGGGTTACGTGGAAGTACGTGGTACTGTGAAGTCAAAGTCTACTATGTCTTGCAACAACTTTCTATTGTTTCCTCTAAGCATGACGAAGGATTTTGGTGAGTAAAATACTTCTCATCATTAGCTTTTTCTTCGCTAAAAGTATCAACTGTGCTCTTAATTGAAATTTGCTATAGATGTAAATGGCTACAATACCATGGTGCATATGCGCTGCGCAGTGGGTAATCAATTAGAGGGAGTGTTTTGTGAAAATTGATACAAACAAATATAATAAAATTGATAATATATGCAAATTGTTTACTGTTGCACACTTTTTACATTCTATTACCTATTATGGCATATGTCCGTTTTACAAAACTGAAAATGCCATAAAGAAAATTATTTAGACACGCTGTCCTTTGTCTGTACATAAAATTGATCCAACTAAATCTGATAAACATAACAGAAACTGAAAATAGAACTACAAACACATTATTAACATTAAGTAAGAATAACTAAAAAAAATTTTATTTACCAGAGATACATACCCTTATGTCACAGTTGCATTACGTGTATAATCTAAGGACGAACAGCGACAGTTGCAAGATGTCACTGGACATTCGGTATGTTGTCTAAAACAAAAAGAAATTAATAGATATTAACTTTTTTTTTTCCTTTTCTTTTCTTTTTGAAACTGAAAATAGAACTACAAACACATTATTAACATTAAGTAAGAATAACTAAAAAAAATTTTATTTACCAGAGATACATACCCTTATGTCACAGTTGCATTACGTGTATAATCTAAGGACGAACAGCGACAGTTGCAAGATGTCACTGGACATTCGGTATGTTGTCTAAAACAAAAAGAAATTAATAGATATTAACTTTTTTTTTCCTTTTCTTTTCTTTTTTCTTTGTAAAATCTTGGACATTTCTTTTTCTTTTTTCAGTACTCTTCTCTTTCCCGATTATATATCATTAACATAACTCAAACATGTATTTTTATGACTTGTCAAGTTAACATAAATGTAATCGCGTGTTCTTACCGAAACCACTGGGCAATGTGCTCGCTGTGTCCACCATGTTTACATGTTAGGCACCATGTGAACCAGCTATTGAATTCTGTAAGCCTGCTATCGCATTCTTCGCTTCTACTACCACCGGGACTAGGGGCGGTTTGTAGTCCACTGACAGTGCCCATATGCATCAAACATATCGCGCAACGTGGCAAAGGTTTACGGCAATTTGGGCACGCCGTCATCTACGATTGAAAAGGACATTGAGGAAAGAAAAACTCTTCTCGCAAAAAGTGTAGACAAAAAAACCTACCTTTAATTTATTAGGCGTACCGCCTAATCTGCCAAATGGAACCCTTGTCCTGCTCAATCCTTGCATGAAAGCAGATATACTCTTACCACAGAAATTACAAGAAACGTGTATCTGTTGCAGTGGTCTTTCTTGTGGTGTCGAGGATCTCATAGCAATGTCAAATCTAGCTCTTTGAAACCATAATTTCCATGCATTCAAAAGATGTCTGTAACTGTAACAGCAACCATTAATACATGCAACATCGGAGAGAATGCCGATTATTCGATAAATATTTACAGATAGAAAATTAATACTTAGTAATCCACACTTGAACTTGATTTTCTTGAAGCAATTTGGGCGCAAAAGCTCTGATAGCAATTAGAGCACAACTCTGAACATCCGATGTGATCTCCAAATATTTATTCAATAATTGTATACTTTCCATACTTGCCCCTGAAGCACAATGTATGTATTAATATGTATGTATATGTGTGTGTAGTTAATATTGTTGCATCTTGTATTATTACGATTCTGCTGCAGCTCTATTAATTCTGTTAAAATATTCCTGTTGTATATTTTTGTTATTTTTTAATATTAACAATGTTGCTTTTTCAATAGCATGAGCGCATCTTGTGATAATGAAAATATAGAAAGTGTCTCGAGACATTAACCCGTGAACGCAACAATATTATATAATTATATATATAAAACATATTTGAATCACACACCTGTAAGCAAGAAGCCTGCTAGATCTCCTTCTTCGATTAACTTTTGAGTCAATCTTTTCAAATATTCGTACAGTTTATTATCAGACAAAAATATAAGAGCAAATGCTATTCGATCTGCGACAGCCATACCATTTTCGTTCTACGATATCGTGTTTATTAAGCGTCTAATTAATTTTTCGTCAAAATTTGATCTACATTTTCATATTTATTATACTTATTATACTTACAAGTACACTTTCATAGGAATCGTTATCCGCTGTCAAGAAACCGAATGTTGCTCTTAGATAAGGATCCGATAATTGAGATTTAGATTTCTGACAAGATTCCCTCCACAGTGTGGTGCGTTCCTCGGAGAAACCCGATAATGCCATAGCTACCATATTCAGAATGGTCGTTTGTTTTTTGCTGGCACCCCGATTTAAAATATCTATAGCCTGTCTTAGGCAGAGATTAAATACCGCGAATGCCGCTGCTTTCGCGTATGCACCTTCCCTTTCCAATTTCTCCAGATATGTGTTATCATATGCAGTATTGGTTTCCTTGTCAAATCGCAAACCGCAAAGATGAAGACTCTTCTCTCTGTCTGCGGATCTACAAGTATCAAAATTACATTAGATATGTACAAACATATTCGCATATTTATATAGATAAAACAATCATCACCTATAAATTTTTGTTGCATAATTCGAACCTATATCCGCCCAGGAACGATGAATGACTTCCGACTTTAAGAAACCATTACCTAAGTTTTGCTGACTGTCCAATTTCAAAATTGTCCTGTATAAAGATTGAAAGCATTAAACATATACATTTAAATATACACGTATATTCTAGCTGATGGCACATTGTAATTTTACCTCACACCAGGATATTGATTATTGTCGGGGCTTTGAATAGTGTTGTCTTCAACTAAAGAGCGACTCAGATATAACCATTGCCACAAATTCTTCAGAGTTTCATTTTCGGCTATGTCGCCATTTTGCGCTAAATCTGTCTGCAAATACATGCACATATAAGAGTATGCCAAAAAATGAACCTAATCAAAGATAGAAAAAAACAAGAGACTAATACGAATCTGAAGCAAAAGATGAAGAATTAATATTAAATACTCTCGATGCTAATATTAGTTAGAAACATCTATGCCAATGCCCAAGGTTTAATAATATTCCATCATTTGTATTATCCACTTACAAGCAAGCCATATTCGAGCATAGCACGTCTTTTAGTTAAAACTGAGATATCATTCAATTCCTTATAAATGCTATCCTCGCTGTTTATATATTTGAATGATTTAAAAGCATAATTCCACATAAGACACGATCGAGCAGACCAGTTGAGTGTTATTCTCTCACATACAGTGTAATCGGTTACTCCTGTAAAATCAAAATGCTCCAGTAAACAATATTGTAACTGCGTTACGGTAAAATACGAGAATTATATTCTAATATAAGATAAGATTATATATTGTCAGATACCTTGCAGCGATATCGCCAATAATCGATTCTCATCAGTAAGATGCCATGAAAAGCTTATAGGACTATGCCACGGCGGCAAAACCACTCTT